GCAGATTGAATAATTTTGATCTAAGGCCTCTAACATTTTGGTAATAAAAATTTAAATTATACATTTCTTTACTTAACGATAGATAATTAGTTTTAGAGAATTTATTTTTGAATGAGAGAAACTCTTGTACATAGATATTCATGGAAGAATTGAGATTATTACAAATAGTACAGTTAGGGGTTACCGTGAAGATAGGATGATGACAGTCCTTGGAGATGAATGAATGCATGCAGGTGACTAGTTTTTTGAAAGCGAAGAAGACGGATGATTCGAGTGACTACCAGAAACACCACCATCATTAGGTATAATAAGTGGAATTCCATTCCTATACTTGATGGAGATGTTGTGTTCACCGTTTTTCTTACGGTTTTCAAGCTCTGTGTAGACACGACGAATTTCTTGACGCTTGAGGAGGGTGCGGTCACGTGAGATGGAGATTGAGTTAGCTGGGACCTATTGAGTTCGCTTATGAGAGTTGAAGACAGACACCAAGCTGAGAGCCATTTCCTTAGATTGAAGTACCACCTTTAGAGGTCGAGGTTTACCACTTATCTTGCGGCCCAACCTAAATAACTTAAGATCGTGAGGTAAAGTTAAGTTACACGGATGAATATTATCATTGAGTAATTTAATATCAGATGCAATTCGAACTGTAGGATCATTGGAAGAAGACTCTTGGAGGCCATGCACTATAATGTTACGAGCACATATTTCACGGTTAGCAAATTCTTGAATCAGCTGAGGCATGTTACTTGAAACATCAGTAGAATTTTCCAAAACTTGAATTCTGTTATTGAGGGTAGCAATTTCGTTGCGGAGGGTAGTATTTTCCGACCTTATCTCAACGAGTTGGGATTTAAGAAAATCAATACTTGATAACAATTCAGCTAGTTTAGAGTTTTGTGACAAATTCATAGCTTTACACTATCCAAGCATATCAATCTGTGAACTGCGAATCTCTGCGATAGAGTGATGAAGATCATCCATGGTTACAGGAGCCGAAGCTTTTTATTAACAGTTGCAGATCTAGTATTAATTTGTGATGATTTTGTTGGGGTTGGAGACATTATGCAAATTTGACGACAAAAGTAGATTAAAATAATAAAGGAATTGGTAAGTTAAGGGATAATTTGAAAATAAGGTAATCACTTGACTCACGGTGTATAAGTGATCGCGTCGTTTATAAATGCTTCTAGGCACACAGTGTATATGTCGCACGTATGTGGTCAGTATCGCGTCGAGTTAGGTAATTAACGGGCGGCGGGAGATAGCATGGCCGAGTCAACCAGAACACACGATAAAAACTTTTAAAATAACCGGCGGACGAGTATTTCAACAAATACAAAGAAAAACTGCCCTTAGAGGGAACATTTTGAGCAGACCGACTCGAAACCGACACCGGTCTACGCGCGCACTTTTTATAGAACAGTTAAGACATAAAACGTAATAAACGACCAACTGTAACCGGAGAAAATGTAGAAAAACTGGGAGAGATATTGTTGTTATCAAACGCATTACCAACGTTTTTTTTGTACTTTATACACTGTATGTAAAATCGTCATCGTCAACGCACGACGTTGTCGGTGCAAACAGCGTTATCGGTGAAAACGACGAATATGAGCATTGATTATATTTTTGTGAAATCGTCATCGTCAACTCTCGACGTTGTCGGTGCAAACATCGTTTTAGCTGAATATGGTGAATTTTTGGTCGGATTATTTGTGATCGGTACACATAAAGTATTATAGTTTATCCAAGCAACATCTCCGAGGTGATGACTTTTATGAAAAAAATTATTGAATTATTGAATTTAACGCAAATAAACAATTTTTATTGTAAAAATTATCGTTATTAATAGTTTCGATTTTTAACTTGTGCTGGTGTTCTAGTGACTTTACAACGCAAGCCGTTATCGTCATCTGCATAGCAAAGCAAAGCATATTTGATGGTCATGCCGTCATGGTGTTAAATATAGGCGAATTGCAAAATTAAAAATTAAGCAAATGCAAAACCATAACTAAATGCTATAATATGAGATTATAAATATGCATGGAACTTTTGAATATTGTCCCAAGTTATTTACGCAATTGTTTACTTTGCATGGTATAAGCAATGATCATTATATACCACTTTTATTTGCATTACTTCCAGACAATAAAACTTCAACTTACGTAAATTTATTTTAAAATATCACACATTTGTGTAATGCACGTGAACTTTCTCTAAAACCAAATTTATTTATATCTGATTTTGAAGAAGCAATTCATGTAGCATTGAGACAAGTCTGGGATGACACTAAAATATTTGGTTGTAGATTTCACCTAACTCAATCGTGGTATAGAAAAATTCAGGAATTAGGCTAATCCAACGTATATCAAATTAATAAAACAGAAGAAAGCAAGTGGCTAAACCATACATATGGGTTGCAATTTATTTCTCCAAATGAGGTCAATAACTGTTTTATTGAATATTTTATGTCATCGATCCCTAATGGCATAAGATTTCAAAAATATGCCGATTATTTAGTTGACACATATATCTATGAAGAGGCTAAATTTCCACCAATAATTTGGGCTGCGAATATCGCGTCACTAGCTCTCACCACTAATGCTTGCGAATCATATCATTCAAGTTTCAATTCCGAGTTCTATCACCCACATCCTACTATTTACCACTTTTTGGACGTACTGAAAGGATTTCAAACCAAAACTTTGATTAAAATTAAAAGTATACATCTTAAAAAACGAAATTCTACTAAAAATAAAATTCGTTTGGAAACTTTTCAACAAATATATATGAAGACTACAGACAAAATAAAATTGACAGAAAATGCTTAGTTTCTTCATTAAGCTATAAATATAAAAAAAAAAACGTGAGTAAGCTAGGTATTATAAGTAGCTAGGTATTTTAATTCAAAAATTAAATGTTATATTACGAAAATTTTACATACTAAACGAAAATTTATATTTATACATTTATTTATAATTATAATTTGACTGATTTTTATATGTTATATTATTAAACGAAAATTTACTTATTTAATATGCATGGAGTTCGTTTTACTTGTATACATTTATTTATAATTATAATATGACTGATTTTTATATGTTTTATTNTGGAGTTCGTTTTACTTGTATACATTTATTTATAATTATAATATGACTGATTTTTATATGTTTTATTACTAAACGAAAATTTACTTATTTAATATACATGGAGTTCGTTTTATTTGTGGCGCTAATTACAAACTTAAAAAGTAAATTACCAAAATACAATTTTAGATGTGGCGCAAATTACATGTATATATTTTTTTTTTTTTTGGTTGTTTTTGGCGCAAATTACATACGCCCCTTCTTTACTTGAGGGAAGTCGGGACTTCCATCTTCGAGGGGAGGAATGTAGTAAACCGACGGAGTCGGTTTATACACAAAGTATACATTCTACTAGGAATATAATAAGTAATACTATACTTCGATTTGACATTTTGACGATGCATTTTTATAATATATTTTTCATATATATGCTAATGCACAAAATTACGAATATCAAATAGTAATAAACTAAATACCTGGAGCGTCGCTAAAAGTAATGGCACAAGTCTTGCTCGAGTGCTTTTCTAAAAATCCATACGAGGACAACAACAACTCCTAGTCGGCGACTTATCAAATCCACCTCTAGTCTCTACCATGTGCTTGTTAGCCAGAAGAGTTTCTGTATAGATACAGAACTCTCCCATAGTAAATTTAGAATTAGTCTGACATCACACATTTGTAGGACTTAGTTTGGCCGTTGAGCCTGGTCGTCAACATCGTCGCCAAAAATAAGTCTATTCCCAGTATTATAGGTCAAACTAATTTCTCGGGCGGAGACTTTTCGCTCTGTTCTCAAATGTACATGATATTTTTTAATAAACTAACTTATGTCTTATAGTTAACTCACAGTGTCGTTTGTTCAATTTACTTAAAACCTATCCTGCAACCAACCCGATTCGTACACTGACAGACACCAGCGTTGAAGAACTCTTTTTATGAGGGATCACTACAAGTGCTTAAGTGCTTCGATAAACTATTATTACTATATTTTAGTGTTGTAAAATCCGGAAACGGAACTACAACCAGAACCATAAAATTACATTTTCTTAAAACCTGAACCGGAACCAGATCCTCATCTTGAAATAGTTAAGAACCAGAACTAGAATCGGAACTGTAAAATCTGAAGGTACAAGTCCCTGGATTACAGTTCTACTATATATAGTTGTATCATGTAGGTCGTATAGGTGTCGAGTGTACTGGGCACCTCGTAATCAAGAAAGTCACTGTAATGTAGCTACTATCTACTTATATGTTAAAATCTTAATTTGAATTCAATGATTAATCATTGTACACGAAAAACCATTTTGAACGAATAATAAAACTGCAGCTAATATTATATACTTAGTATATATTTTCATGATAAGTTTTTTAGATACTTCTATTGCATATTCAAGTAATTTATTAGTTTTAGTAACTTGAAGTGTTAGGTTGGTTGAATTTTTATAGAAAACATTGTATTTTTTAATTATTAATAATTTATTATTATATGGTATTATATTTTTATTATTGTTATTACTTATTAACTTTTAAGTCAAAATCGTCTTATTGATGTGGAACGGTGTGATAGTATTAATTCCTGTTCGTAGGATAAATATTAAATAGGCAAGTAAGGCAATACAAATAGGTCTAGATGGCTAAGTACTAAATAGTAAGTACTATTGATATCATATTATATCAAAATGTACATAATATGATAACTGATAATTTGATAATTTGATATACATTTAAACATTTGTAGGCGGCACATAAAACATGTAGGTAAAAGGTAGCAGCGTGCGCACAACAGGTCTCAATACCTTATAGCGTACCGAGCTTTCATTGAGCCACCCTATAACCAACTAAAAATAAACATAAACAACGGAAAAGTGTATATTAATTATTCTTTTTTTTTTAATAAATAAATACCTAATAACAATACAGCATTTATGTCGAATAGAATAAAATAAAATTAATAACTTAATATATTAATAAATTAATGAAATAGTAATGTACACATTAAAAATGCACTGAAACATTAAAACCTAGTGTACCAAACTAGCGTATCGAATAGCTCATAAACGAATAATTACTATAATAGTTATATGATTATAATACTGTCAATCACTAATAAAAAGAGTAGTATCATAATAAATCAAAATTAAGGTTGGCTTGTTTCACCCTTCTTCAAGCAAACTGAAAAGAAAAAATAACAAGAATTATTACAAACGAATAATTTAATAGATTGCTTAATAAATGTATATTTTAACACGTCATATTTATAAAAATAATATTTAAGGAAAAAAATATTAAAAGATAGTCAATAATATAGTGTTTTTTGAAATTCTAAATTATATTTAGGAAACATCTAATATTGACCTATACATATATAATATATTATGGTGTGCATGGTACTTACTCTTTTTATCTGTTTCCCAGCCAAGACGTTCTCCAGTTCTTTTATTTTCATTTTGAAGCCATTCGTATAGAGGACTGAAATAGTTTAACAAAGGTCCAGCGTCCATATCTCTTTGCCCCGTTAGTAGTTCCATGGCGTCAAACCACGGTTTCGACGATCCTAATTTCAGCATGTCTCTAAAATAATATTAAAACAAACTCATTAAGTTATTTTTATGTACCCTCACGAGTTCTTCTTCAAATTACAAATCAAAATGTTCGTAAATAATAATTCCATGATTCAAATGTTCTTATTTTTTTTTTTTTGTGAGATCCATGTATTTTTACACATTATGGAACAGTAATATCATAATAGCATAGGCCATAGACTACCATTTATAATAAATATATGGAGTGGCTTGGTGAGGCATGGTCGTACACGTTCAAACTGCGGAAACGCTCTGAGTGTACGTACCGGTCGGCGTTGCTAGCTCCCGGATGGGTTACCACCTGGGATTTTTAGCAACAAAATCCTTGCTACATATACAAAACGTGTTCTAAACCAAACCGTTTCCCCCTACAAACAGCCAATGGCCATAGTTGCCGGGCTTTACTTCAATAAAAAAAAAGAAAAATTATATCGAATTAAATATGCATTGCATTTTTTAAAAATCACTAGCTATCTTTAAAATACATTTGGTTATCGGTTAATGGGCAAAGGTATATTACTATATTAGGTATATTTTAGATTATAAACAACACATATTTCATTCGCTCTCGTTTAGGATCCCAATTCTTAAAAAAAAAATTGTTTTGTTTTAGCTCATAAAATATCAAGATTGATGGATTTAATGTGTTTAAAAAATATATATAATATAATTATTATTTAAATTATCTCACTTGAAAGCGTTTCCGGCATTTGTACTTTGATATATGTCACATTCGTGTAACGGTTTGCTTGCTGGATTTTTCGGATCAAACTGGCCAGCTTTCTCGCACAATGCTTGATGGAATTGAAATTGTACGATGAAACTCACAAAGTATCTAATGTAAGGCACGTTTCCAACGATGTGGTACTTGGATCCCGGGTCAAAATCATTTTCAGTTCTGGTCACCGGTGGCTCGATTCCTTGATAAGAATATCTACAACAGACATTATATCCTTTATATACTTATATACAATGGTCGGTATGTATATATTTCAATACAATTTATGAACGTCTCAAGAATATTAAATATGGTCTAATCACTTAAGTTTCCACCAGTCGCAGTTGTATTGATCTTCCGTTGTGATACCTTTGAACACGTTCCACCTCCATAAATCCATTAAATATCCGAAAGGTAAAAACACTATTTTTTCTAATCCAATCTTGTACAGATAATTTATATCAGCTTCGTAAGTACGGCTTGTCTTAGGCAACAGACCAATCTTATGCAAATGCTTTGGCGTGGACACAGACAAAGCAATTGTATCTCCGATCGCTTCATGGAAACCTATTTAGACGAGCAATAAACTTTATAATATTAAGATTCAAGGTATAAGTGCATAACTTCATAGTAATTAATTAAATTAGACACTAAAAATTACTTCAAGATTAAGTTTTTACCATAACATACTATTATCACACGTTCACGCAGGTAAAACTTAAAATAATAGATAAACGCTATACATGAAGTCGAATATAGATGATTATGACTTTCGTAGAAACTAAACGTTGATCAAAAATATAGTAACCAGTGGTGCCGGGCCAAATGTAAAACATGGGGGGCAAACATATTATTCCACCTTCCAAAGGAAAAAATAATAATTTAGATAAGACATTTTAAATACCTAGCAAAAATGATTAGTTAAATTTAATTAAAATTGATATTACGTAAATATTAATCTCCTCATGAATAAAAAATATTTAATATTTAAATTTCAAGCAAGTTAATAAAGTTATTTGATTATTTTTTAACTTAAGTCATAACTCATAACTGCAGATATTTAAGATTTCACGGAAAGTATTAAATAAAATAAGTTAAAACCAAAAAAGTGTTTAAGAGTCATTACTATATTATTGTATCTCCTACAACAAACTTATTACTTCTTATATTTTTAATCATATAGACTTGATAAGTGAACCTAGTTTAGCGAAATTCTAGATAATATGCTTCAGTGATAATGCATAATATCACATGAAGTGTATCAGGTATTTACAGAAATGCTATGAAATTGCGTTTTTAAGTTTGTTGTTTGTTGTTTGTATCTAAGGACCAAAGGGATGTGCTAAAACCGGGGCTATGAATGGACCGCTGCATGTGTAGCTTCGGTTCACAAAGGAAGGAAGTTTATTATTCTTGTTCACTTATCAATTGTATAGGTTTAATTGTATAAAAATGCCTATGCATATAATATACCTATACACCAGAACAATAGTGTTAATGTGTTACACAACATTTGTACACTCTATAAAGTTTTCTTATCGATGTAGTCACTGTCCGTTATTGTACATAAATATATAATCACACGTGCTCGTTAATGGTCTAAATAAAAAAAGATGTAGATATGAAGAATGAACTACAATATAATTTATTCACTATATACATTGCTGCCGAGAATGCTTTTTATTATTAATGACAACAGTTATTATAATTTGATGTTACACCAACGAAAAGTCCGATATTAATACTTAAATAAATAAATCGATAAATGTGTAATGGGCTTTTACTAACATACAGAGTTTTTTTCACACTTAAACAGTGTAGGAATAAAAATGGTTGGGTGTAGTGTATACTATTAAAAATATATCAAGTATTATGTAATGTGTATCATTTTGTTCTGCAAGAGCAAGACACACAAACATTACCTAATGAATGTTCTGAATAAAAAAATAATTTTTAATTTAAAAGCTTTTAACGTTTGTTTGTTTTTTAGGTTAACATTTACGACTATTTAAATTTTTATAACTTTTAAAGCATTCAACTGATATACTGATATGACACTATACGTTACATAGTGCAATACTTTAATAGGTATTAAAAATCACAATAGTTACAATACAATATTGCAAATTACAATACTGTACAATACTACATATTACAATTTACAATACCTACCCGTATATTGTCAAATTATTTGATTATAATAATATATAATAATATACCTTCGTTAGCTCCTTCGCGGTATATGAATGGCTGGTCTTTGTATTGTAGGAAATATTGGATGTGTCCCATCTCGTGGTGGGCAGTTATGAAATCCATAAAATTTACCGATGTGCATTGTTTGATTCTAAAGTCATTAGAATCGTAAAAGTCCCATGCTGATGCATGGCATACCAGATCGCGACCATTTGGCTTCTCCAAAATAGATTTTTCCCAGAAAGTTTGGGGCATTGCGCTCAGGTTTAACGATGTGAAAAATTCTTCTGCCACTTTAAACATTTTTTTCGGAGTGTAGTTCTGAAATACAAAATACGATTTTATTTTCGGCGGTGTTTATAAAATTTGGTCAGTATATTGCTTGGCATGTTATGATATGACACGTCTGTTCAACAGAAAAAAATAGACAAAAGCTGCAGACCCAGGGGTTTGTGTAACTTTCCTTAAAAAACCTTATTTTGTAATAATTAAATACATTGATAACTATAGTCTATTACCTGATTGATCATGGCGGATGTGGGGTTTACGTCGTCGATGGTTGGATAGGGTCGAGTAAATTCATCCAAACGTTCCCACGACTGCGCCCACATATCACCTGACAAACATGTACAGCGAATGTCATAGACGTCATTATAATGCAATAAACGACTACATGATTAGCAGCTGTCGTAAACTTAAACTTACCGAGCAAATGTGCTGGTATAGGTCCTCTTTTCGTGATCACCGAGTCACCGTATAATTCCCTCAGCTTTCTGCGCACGTAGGCGTGTATCTGCAAGTACAAAGGTTTGATCTGGTTCCATAAACGTTCCATTCGTGGCCGAAAGTCGTCGACGTCGTATCCTCGAATCCAAAATTCTGCAGTATCCGTGTAATCTATGAAAAACGCAATAATATTTTAATACACTAATCATAAAGTTTAATGGTGCGTGTGTGTGTGTGTGTGTGTGTGTGTGTGTGTGAACGATATGAAAAAACGTCCAATTCGATTGGAAAAATAAAACCATAAGATATGTGTATATAGATTTGTACTGCGCTACACAATATTACTCAACTGTTTAATCTGGCCGCTTCGTTGGACAGTCTTACGTATTCCGGATACATGGATCGAACTTTTTTTCCCGTAGCCTCTCTCCATTGCACCCACACGTGTTTCAGTTCGTTTACATCAGTACTTTTATCCAATATGTCATTTATATCTTGAAGTAAAAAATAATAAAATGTATAATAACACTTTAACCGAACTATAACTGACTTAACATTAATTCGTTTGCACGCATATTAGTTACATAACCAACTAATGTAAATGATAAATGGTTGATGTTTATATGCAAACAAATATTTATACCTGGTTCCAAACTCAAAGTTCGATTTGAATTGTTGTCGCCGTACTCAGGAATGGTTGCTCTGCCGTACAAACTTTCCATTTTCGAAACGATTTCATCTAACTACAAAATATTACAAAGACTTATATTTTACAAGTATTTAATTTTTTTTTTTTATCAATACTTTGTATACATACTTTTTTCAATTTTTCTTCTGGTAAAGCATCTGTTCCTAAGACTGACATTAATTTGAACTGTCTTTTGATATCCGGATTTTTGTATGTTGACCATGGATATTTAACAGTTTCTTCCCACATACGCTTTAAGAACTTGCTAAACTCTAAGTTGATGGCAAGCTATTTAAAAAAAATAATAAATTGCATTTTTAGTTAATCTTGAGTATCGATATCAATTGTATAATACCATTTCTTAATTCAACAATAGGCTTAATCGAATACAAATAATAATAATAATAATAAAACATCCTGGTAATAAATAAAAATAAACAAAACATATTAATTATCTTACGATTTTAAAGGTAATATTATTTTATACTCGTATTTTACACAATACACAATAATATTATATTATTTTTGGTGATTAATTTAATTTTAAATATAAAAAAACCATGTTTACAAACATTCATAAAATATGTTCGATATATATTGCATACACGTATCAGATTTGCCTATACAAGACGCCTTTATAGATAGAAGAAAATACGACATGATTACGAGAAAAACTGTGTTTATTTATTATTGTTTTTTTTTTTTTTTAATAAACGTATTATTTTTCAATTTACAATCCGTAGTTATAAATTAGTCATCTTTTTTGTAGAGAAAAGAGGATAATATAGTTATAGTGATGAATTTCAGAAAAATAATTTGGTCATTGCCATATTGTATATGGTGGACATGAGAATACATGTTCCGAGAAGTTGTAAAATCGACCCCAATGAGTAATAGCGTCAATAGCGACTGTAATACTGCAATGCCCAAGACGAATGGACAGATTACAAAAGGATCTCAACGCGCTGGGAATAATGCATGACCTATAATACTAAGCTAATGAAGAAGAATAAAAAGTCTGTCTTTTGTTTTTCTAGCAGTGTATGATGCATAATATGCATTTTAAACGTCTACTTAAACATTGTATAAAGTTAGTAAAAAAATCGCTCGTACATTTTTCGTTATATACATAATATATTTATTATGTTACATTTAATATTTACGATTTACATACTATTTATTATAATTATTATCTATGATTACTGGTAGTATTTTAGATATAAGACTTCAATTAACTTTTAGTAAAAAACATTAAAATGATAACTTCGCGTTTGTTGATTTCAGATAATATATTAATGTGGTAAAGGTGCTTATGAAAACATTTGAATATATTTAATTGATTTTAATCCGACTAATTCATACATATAGGTTAATATTATTATAGACATTCTTCTTAAACGGAATATTTATAAATAAAATATACGAATGAAAATGAAACCAAAATCTAATTATATAATACATAATAGAACATATAAATAGAATAAAAAATGTTTAATGATGATTTAAAATACAGCAATATATTTTAATATTATAAAAATGACGGATAGTTAATAATTATATTATATTCTACGCATATTAAACAGCAATAATATAATATAAACTGTTGTTTATTGACTTGTAATAACTATAGAATGATAAAATAATATAAATGATAATGTATATAAATAATATAATAAAATGCTCGATTGGATAAAGTCAAGTTCATATTATATATAGGAATAATTGTATCAAATATTAAAATGTTTAAAATTTCAATAGTAAAAAAATAATATACATTATATTATGCATATATTATGTAATTATTAGTAAAAATATTCAAATATATAAAATAATTTTTATTGTACGATTTATCATGAATGTTTATCTGCCAGACACTGTAATATGTATAATCTGCATTCTTGTATTTATTTTTACAATTCCATTATTTTGAGTTATCTGAGTACCTGTCTGAAAAATTGTATTAAAATATCGCCAGACATTAAATAAAGGTACGTGGGTACATATTATAAATGTAAAAAAATTAAAAATAAATAAGATTTTAAGCGCCACGTCACGTACGCGTCTGCTAAAACGGCAGGTTTGACATGAAATCAGATTTTATTAAAACATAACTCAATATTATAATTAAATTGACTCGTGATCAAAAATGTATTTAATAATGAATTTTCACGTTGACAATGCCAGCTCACGACAGGTGAATTTAATTCGATAGAGGTGTTAGTATATAAGTACTTACACCAATTATACCTACTGACTTTTGATCCGATTAAAAATTAATCCATTTGTATCCGAGACATTAAGAGTTTGACAGTCGTTTATTTTACATGTCGTTTTTAGCGAAAACTTTAAACGTATAACAATCAACTCGGGTGTCTAAAGAGATTTTTATTGCGTTATACAACCCATTACCATTACTGTCTTCTCTCGACTCTTTTGCTAAAATGATTATCATAAATCGCATAAAATGGCGACATCATGACTATAATGTATACACGTTGTACCTAAATTGAAGCAACATAATCGGTTTGTAATAATTATTATAGAGCATGTAGACTGTAATATACCTATCGCTTAAATCGTTTGCTGATGTCATAGATTCATTATTCAATATAAGACTTTTTTCAAATAACTTATTCCACTAATCGTAAAAAATTTTAAATTATACAATTATTCAAGTATCCAGGTATAGCGATATGGGTGAATCTGAGTGTTAAGTATGGTAATTATCACCTACAAACATTATTTCCCATCTATCTATATATTCACGAAGCAAGACCGAATCATTGATAAATTTAAACTTTTCTGCCCGTATACCAACCAATTAACAAGTAGGAAGTAAAATCTCGTCACAAAAATAATTTAAAACAATGTACTTTTTTACCATTGTATACTTTATACTTTATATACAGTTAAGTTATTGTACATTGTTTGTATAACTATATTGAGCTATATGCCTATATTTAATAAACATTTGTTTTATTAATTACTATACATTTTAAGTTTAAATAGAAATTATAATATTTAATATTACCTACCTACCTAATAATAATGTCTGTTTGTCATCGAAACAACTTGAGTTGCAAAATACAGGTTACAATTAAGATAAACGTTATAATATTGTTTAATGCATAAGATAATGGGCAGTTAACGGCGTACTTAAAGTTTTCCCAAAGTTAATAATAATATAATATACATACCTTTTTTTCAGCATTCTCGTTAGTTAAGTTTGTTAACCAATTCCAATTGGCGTGTATGACTCGGTTTGTCCACTGGGTCAGTTCGTAATTTGCTTTTTCCAAATATTTGGAAGCTTCGGCTTCAGAGCAGTAAGTGCACTTTTTTATTCCAGCGGATAGGACTGGCTGCCAAACGATCGTACTCGATAGACATAGTATGACACACAAATGATACAATTTCATTGTCATGATGCTATAACACAATATTACAAACATAGAATTACCTGACAATTAATTGTACAAAATTTAATTATACTATATATTATTATGATAAATTTGATATTTCCAAAGAATTGTAATAACCCTATTTACCCTTTTCTCTATCTGGTTAAAAAAAAATGATGTAATATTACATTTAATTTATTACTTATTTTTGTTAATGATATAGGTACCCTTAGGAAACCTAGCATAAGTTTATTGACTTACATAAGCATTTAAAATTATTTCGAAATAAATGAAATAAATTAGCAAGATCTAAAAATCTGGTGTATATGAATTAACAATTGAATGTTTTATTTTTAAAAAGAACACATCATACGAATATATTTTTCTTTTTTCGGTGTTGTATCAAAAAGTAAATTACATATTTATGTTATTTGCAAGCATATTATACAGGTTACAGAACAACATATCGCCTTTAATCCTCCTACAGCAGTAGGAAACATTGAGTGGGCCCTTTGTATTATATTATAAAAAGATATAAAATTCAATTCAAACAATCAATTTAATGATAAATATATCAAAAAACGCAGTTTAAATTGTTCGATAAATTCAATTACAATATTATAAGACAATTAGTAGATATACGTCTTATAACGATAGTAGTGAACATTTTTTTTTCGCAAAATAAACCTAAAGTGTCTAATATATAATTAGGTAGATAGGTTTGATATTTAATGTCATGGTTTGAATATTATTAATTTTTTGTCACGAGTATTTGTTACGGTAAACAGGATTAAACTGCAACGGTTTTGTTATTTTACAGCCTTGTCTGGTCTGGTCAATAATATAATATAGAGAAAACCAGTTTTATTTTTACTTCGATTTAAGCACTCTCTGTACGCTGTACAGACATTTTAGTTAAGTCATTCAACCTTGCTAAGTTGTTGAAAAAACTTTGACCCAATATAATTATATTATAACTGTATGGTTAAAAATAAATCTAACTGTTTTCGAATATTTGAACATAAATAAGAATTTTAAAATACAAAAACAAATATTGAGCTGGTCGAATCATTGTGTTTTCTATACATAATATTATCATCATATCAATACAGAGTCCTAATACATTAATGTACATTTCAATTAAAGTTATACTCATATTTTCGGACCTGTGTACCTGTGTATTATTTCATACCCACCCAATATTTCATCATTATCAAACGGATCATTTAACTCTTTTGATGTTTATATTTAGATACTTACTCATACACTTATATTTTCAATAAAACTATATTATATATAAAATATATATACGTTTAATATTATATTGCGTAGTGCACCTTGTCCGTGGACTGTGGTTTCAAATTGCAATACTTAACAATTTTAAATATGTACCAGAAATATGTGGATGCATTCTAAATTATTTTTCAAAATTATTCAAAAATAATAAACATAAATGTTCAAGTTTCAAAATAAAAGATATTAGATGCCAACACTTTAAAAATTAATGACAACATAATTTAAGTTAAAAGAAATATTTGCTTGGTGTTATCTATTAAAATTAATTTGTTCTATAGCTGTAGGATATTGTTAATTTGAATTTACTATCATTGATCACCAATGTCATAGGTTAATATTAAGAAAAAATTAATTTCATTTACAATTTAGCATGCATCTGATATGTGAACATGTATTTTAATATTTGCTTAGTTAACTAAACATAATATGTGATATACCTCGCCACTATAATATATTATGGCCATATTGCCATAATTCATAGTAATGTGTGTATTTTGATAAGACGATTATAGATTACATGGACATATGAAATCGATAAATTTTCTTTTTGATTGTCCACTACATAATTTATTAATGAAAATTGCTTTATAATAATATATTATAATTAATTGGGGATTTTGACATTTTCTTATGTATGTATTATAATATTTTACGTATGTACGATGAATGATGATAGACAGGTAATGATAAATGTATATTGTTAATTTATTCCGTTTATTATTTTCGGCCACTAAAGACATATGCAATTTAATACAATAGCATTTCTCAAGTTATTGTATGTATTCAATTACACTGTTTTATATACGTAATACATTTCTAAACTAATAAAATATATGTACCTATAAATTATCATTATAATGCGATTAAATTTCACAATATTCTTCTTCACATGTTGAGATAAATTGTTTGAATACCTATTGCGCAATTAACATCACTCTTTAGTCTTTACAAAAGCCTACTTTACGTTTCGCTATAGATATCATAACAATATATTCGTCGAAATAAGAAATCTATAGATTTTTAAACTCAAATCTTAGGTATCTACCTTAATCTTATCACGTGTATTAAAAAAATAAAATAAATTTATTAAGTAAGCATAATAAATTAGTTAATTTTTAGATAACAAGATGCCTTAATTAATCATTATTTTAATTTACAAAATTAAACAATATTACTTTAATATTTATACTATATGCATGTATAATGCACCTAACCAAATAACCAGAACAGTATAATTTATTTTATTTTAATACGAATTTGTATCACCTCATGTTCAACACACATATTTATACATATGTGTATGTATTGGTACCTAGTTATTTTATCCGAAATCAAATCATAGGTATCGATTATTTACAGCATATCTGAATTATTGTAATACGTACATTATTTAGTATTGCGTATTATTAAGTAGGCAGTTTTTATTTCATAAAACAAGTCAAATCGATAAAAAAGAAACAAACGAAAAACACAAAATACTTTAATTTGAGTGGAGAGATGTAGACTATGGTCTATGGAACTCTTTTAAAGTATTTATCTATGCCGTAGGTCCTATGGGTATACTTAACTATAATTATCTATAATTGTTAAGATGATTTTATGGAGACTTCATATAAATCAGAGTCGGGTAGTTAAAAGTTGAGGTGGTAAGGGTAACATAAGCTACCTAAAAACCCATGGTATATATCGTCAGCTATTTGTCTGTATGCGGTTCAAAATGAATTAAATTTGAAAAAATCAATAAATAATATAATTATAATATATATTTCATATAATATAATACGGATAAGTGTCTACTTGTATACAAGGCTAGATTAGTAACACCAGTAGAGTTACTGATTGGACCAACTGTGCACACGTATAGACACTCCATTATTATATGCTATTATATTTATTATGATGTATGATGGATACGTATCGGAACGGATTCATCTTGTAAGTAAATAGTGGTGTAATCGATCACTAACCTGCAGAGCACATTAATCGCGAAGTCCGTACTGTTGTGGTGACGTCGGTCGAAGAATCGTTGGGCCCGCGCGGCAGAGGCGACCTCGGCGGCGGCGAAATCGAGAGTCTTGTAGGTGCGTGCGCCGTCGTCAGCGTCGCGAATACGAGTGACCACTGTTTTATAGTGATTTCTTCACGTCTCGTCGTCGCTGGAATGGAATATGAAATCGAATCGAATTCGAATCGCATCAGAGCCCTATGCGAGTTTGCACGCCACGGAATAACTGCAGGTATAACACTGAACGACGAAATATAACGCTGCTGCAGATGCAGAATGGGCCGAGATGACGAAGACAGCTACGGCCACTACGACGGCCACTACGACGATTGAGATGATGATGATGATGATGATGATGATGAAAATAATAATAAATATTACAATTTTATTCGGTATCTATTTTTGACCATAGCTATAAAAATACGCGTGAGATATGCGTATACCTATATATGTATATATATATATATATATAATATATTCATGAAAGGAGGGAGAGAGCGAAACGTCCGTCTTGTGTTAGGCATCGATTTTTTACGTAGGTATATTGTATACGATGTAGGATGAAATATTTTATGTTATTCCAATGTAAGTGGGGGAACGGAAGAGGAACAAAACAAAATAAGAACACAAATTGGTAATATTATGCCACTCGAGCACACCGTGGCACATGCCAAGCGATGTTTTAATTATAAGATGTGTACGGTCCGGTGTTTATTGTTTTCTCTGCACTGTCAATAAGTGGATACCGTCCTACGAAAACGACATTGAAAAAACATCATTCGAATGTCATGGTCAATATATATCCTAAAGTGTAGACCAAATGCGCTCCAAAACGAATGACAAATTATTTTTTATTATTATAGACTCGAGTACACGACGTATATACATAGGTATACCTACTCCTCGTATGTTATTGTAAGTATACACATTACACATTCAATTAATGATTGCTTCATTTTAATTGTAATGAATCTTGTACTCGTGCAATCGGTTTACGCTGAATATATTTTGACAACTGATATAAGTGATAAGGGACAATAATATTGTAATATTGTATTGCGTGGACGAAGTTTTAAATTATGATGGAGAGAAGCTATGAATAATAGCGATTTCCGGCTGTCCTTCAGAACTACCGTAAATCAACCGATAAATCAAAAAATAAACTTCTCTCTACATCATAAACACTGAAATTCCAAACTTTTGGCCGGGTGTGCTTATGAGTGGTTGTTGGGAGTGGTGGCTTGGTGGTCATAGCCCCCCCCCCCCCAAAAAAAAATACAAACAATACCCCTTTACATGTTAAATTGGATTATTATTTTAGATTCTGAGTGAAGAGATCTACTGATTTTAAAATAATATTTATAAATTTATTCCATCTTCTTTTTTTTTATTCTGTGTACCCGTTTTAAATAAATTGGTCAGTACATCACGTTCATTCAATATACTTACAAGACAAAATGTAAAATTATTATAATATAATTTAAAATAATTAATTGAAATAGTATTTACATTATACAATTCTAAATATGACGTAACAATTTAATACACATTTAAAATTATTTTAAAATTAAAGTATAAAAAAATAAAAATAATGTATAATACATTTTTGTGAAGAATACGAGATATTGTTTTACATTTTGAGCAGAGCGATTGATAATATATTAATTTTACTATGATTTGTAGACACATAAAGTTGTTGAAAAAATGATTCAATTTTCAACTTCGAGGGTGGTTTTTGATGAAAAATGTAATTCCATTGTTTTCGGCAATAATCATCGGCAAAACAAATTTAAGAAATGATTGACGTTTGAAATTTGAATTTTTTTTTTTAGTTTTTTACTGTATAAATGCCGATAAAACATTTTGTGGGTTCTTGGAATTGTTCAAGTATTTTATTTTATTGTATACACACAATGACATTTTAAAATCCTGTTTTCACCGAAAATTAATTTAACCTTTTAGTAATTTCTTTTATAGCAATACAAAATTATTAATTATATCCTAAAATGTGTTTAGTTAATCATTGATTCTGGCGACCTATCTTCTCTCGGAATCGTTTTTTGTGTGCAATACCTTATCATTTATCAGTCAATTAAACCCATGCCTATGACGGCTCACACACACATATATATACTGACGGCGGCGAGTTGTCGAAAATAGATAGAAACATCCAAGCTTCTACGTACACATACATTGTACTACGACGACGATGATAACAATAATAATAATAATAATAATAAATAGTAACTATTAAAATGATAATAATTTGTACCTACGAGCTGGTCGTGGACTCGATTCGGCGCAGCTGCAGATCTCGTGCAGTAATTATTATTTTGTCGACGATTTAAGCCATTTATCGTTTGTCGTTGGAATATGAGTATGGTGGAATTGCACTTTTTTTGATCGAACTGCACTTGGGCTCAAAAAAGCTATTCCAACAAAAATATCATGAATGTGAAGAGCTTAGACGTTTAGAAAACAATAATTTCCCTTCCCACTTACAGGTTTATTACTGACAATGATTTTATTCATTGGCGTGGTTAAAAATGATTGTTTTATATAAACCATTGTCCATAGTCCATTATGTTATTATAATATTATAAACCAAGGCCGTATATTGGAGGGGGGTTGGGGTTTAACCCCCTCCCCCGATTTTTTTTTTTTGAAATACCTAAGATTTAATTATTTTTATAACATAAAACCTTGTTATAAACGTACATTGAATCATCAAATATTATTGTCATTATTATAACTTTAAAAAAAAAACTAATTTCGATCATTTTTTATAGAAATAATAATTAGGTACTTATAATTTTTTTCATTTTTGTCATTTTTTATAGTAATAACAAACTGCATTCAAAAACTCTAACCTGGTGAATAGTAATATGCTTTTGACCATATATTAGTTAATATGTATATTTTTCAATATCATTTATTTCATTTTAGGTAATACGTGCAATTCGACTATCCTGACTAATATTACCTATTGTGCAGCTCAGCAGTTACCTACTTCCTATTTTTTGTTATTATTAATATTGAATGGCTACCTATTTTAAGGTAAAATTAAAAATTTGAAGAAGATAAACAAATTAAATGGGTGATAACTGATAAACACCCACTTTGAAACTAGTACATTATTAGTGAATATTTTTTTGGAAGTTTTATTCATTTACAAGACTTATAACTTACAGTTACAGTATAAAATCGTTTTGTCTTTGGAAATAATGGTCAAATTATTAGGACATTTATAATAAATCCAAGGATTTATACCTTGCCTTCAACCTGATGTTTTAGATTTATAGAGTGAAGCAAGGAATACTTGGTTTTCCAATAATTATGGAAGATTAAAAATAAATTAATATTATTATTTTTCACTTAAAAATAATGAATAGTAAAATTATAAGTATATACAATGATGTATGTAAATTATATTTAATATTTATATGTAACTGGGTAAAGTAACACTTATTTAGAAAGTCTTCACGTATATTTTAAATTTATTCAGTCCCGTGTTACTTTCTTCGAAAGTTCCTTTTAGTTCCTTTTAGTGATTTTTGTTTCATTTATTTATTTATGAGATACGATTTAAGTGGAATGAACAAACACAGGAGGGTTATACCTACGTGGTTAGGTACTCAAAATATTAATCTGTTTAACATTTTTAACATTTCAATTACAACTCTTGATTACGTCGCGGAATTGGGTTTGGTTTAGATATTTAAAATTTAAATGTCTTAAATTTTACTACTTTGAATTTTATGTATATGCTCGGCGCGATTGCTCAAATACTTAATTTAAATATTATTACACCAAAAAATTAAATGTACTCACCTATATTGTTTAAATATTAATTATTCAAATGTTGAACTTATAAAATATGTATTGGACAAAATTTTTTATTTTAAATTCTGAGCGGATCAATGAATGTATTGATTATATAAAGTTGTGTGCGTGTCTCCGTGTGTCTGCCTGTCTGTCAACACTTTTTGTTGAGCAGTAAAAATGCTTAGAAGTTTTAAGGGGGTTTCCGGTAGCTATTTTCAAAATCATCAAGAACAATTTCAGAAAACCGGAAATATCTACACAATATCAGCTTTCAACAAAATCGATTATTAATTTTATAGTAATTAAAGAATGATAACCGAACAAGATTTGATTAGATAATAATAACATTTTTTATTGACATTTGAAGTTTGAAATTTTGATAAAATTTTATGGATTCAAACATATTACAACGATTTCTTATCAAACAATTTTAGTTATTTTGTATGACCTTAAAAACTCTTAAAAATGCATGCAAATATGCCTTTAGAACAATCAAGTACAACATTATTTAATGCAGTAAAAATTGTATTATTCATTATTCATTAAAATATAATAGATAAATAAAATATAGATACTAGATTCTGCACGTTTCGTATTCACGTGTTCTTGAAGGTTGTGACACCAACACCTTATAGCCTATAGAGTAGGTATAATGGCCAATGGGTTTGTCTGTAAAAACATGTTATTACTTTGGGTGGCGTGTATGAGTATCAGTACATTTGATGATAAAAACTAGATTTTTAAAAATGTCTTTAAAATCTAAAATTTATAACAAGTGATTAGGTAAATTATCTAAATATTCCAATGCATACAATTAAGTAAAATTATAAAACAATATCGCTAAAAAAAAATTATATTTATAGCATACCAAATGGATTTACAAATCGCAAATGCGAACGACCAAAAATATGTAGGTATTATGTAAAAGTATCATACATTCATACCTACTAAAATATTATGTATAAATATATATATGTTACGGGCAAAGTGGAAAATTCGGACAATGTATACAATGTCCGGGCATTGTATACAGTGACTGGGCATTGTATACAATGTCCGAGGTATATTGGTCAATGTAAATTGTGAAGTATCTATACAAATAATCTGCATAATATTATTATACCTAATCAGTAATCAATGATATTATATACTAATTTAATTATACTCGTTTATAAGGTTATTTATATAAGAGTATTACAATTTTTTTTAAATTAATTAAATTTTAAATGTATTTAAAGGTAATAAAATAAAATATTATGTGCATAATGTTCAGTAATATGATATTATACATGAAGTTCATTTGTCAATTGGACATGGAGATAGAAATAAAATGGAACACGAGATTAATAAAAAGTACAAAAATATAACTAGAGATGTAATAATGTTATACTTAAATAATTGCGAATTGTGTAAAAATAAGGGAAGTACAGCTAAAAAAGGTTGGTTTTAAAACCAATCATATCTTCTGAAATGAATTCTCGCTGTCAAATTGACTTGATCGATATGCAAGCACAATCAGATGGCGATTATAAGTTCATATTAGTTTACCAGGATCATCTAACAAAATATATTATGCAGATTATTTGTATAAATACTTCAAAATTTACATTGCCCAATATACCTCGGACATTGTATACAATGCCCGGTCACTGTATACAATGCCCGGGCATTGTATACATTGTCCGAATTTTCCACTTTGCCCGTAACATATATATTATATGTATATTAATAATGAAAATCGGCCTGCAATTAACACCTTAAAAGCAAACACCAAACTTTGTATCTATATTACAATACACTTTATTACACAACTTCTGCTTAAATATAAATAATATATTTAAACCACTGAATTTGGCGAGATAAAAATTTCGAGCAATTGTCAAACTAATGACATACAATCTTATATTAATTATATTATAAAGGATCATATATGTATTGTATTCATACGAACTTGATTTAAACACCAGGAAAGTCGTTTTGCTGAATATTAGGCCATTATTGGGGTTCGATTACACCAAGTCATAGAGTAAGTCACAGTAATGGAAGTATTAAATTTGAATTCAACTAATTTCACAAAAAAACGATTCTGACCATTTCGGTTTTCATCATCTATTTTTAAACATATCTTATAATTTATTTGTATGTATTTGTGATTGCTGATTTACTATAATACTATTAATTATTTTATTACGTCAGATAATCGTACGTTATTCCAGTTATAATAATCAATATTCATAACTCATAAAAGTATTATCATCAGATTGTAAATACTAAAACGAGACGTTATGAATGTGTTGATTATTACAATGATGTGAGTGATTTTTTTTTTCGTTATAATTATATGTTATGTCTGCTATTTTTTAAAAGTGATTCATTCGTCTACATTAAGTGTGGTTTCTAGAAGCAAAGTAGATATTGTTTGTATTTAAGGGGGTTATATATTTAAGCAAAACCAGTTTTCGATTTTTGTTTTTTTGTATTAATTCAAAAATGAATATTTGCAGAGAGCTTAAATTCTCATCAAATACATTTTATACTACCATTTTCTAGAAATGTTTATCATTTTTGAAATTTTTTGTCTTTTTGTGTAATTGACATAGATATTTTGAAGTTTTGATTTTTTACTATTTTTTTACTTAATAGGTACTTATGATAAAATATTTGTTTAAAACTCAAAAATTGAATTCAACTACATACTTCGGAAGTTGTTCTTACAGTAATTAAATATCAAATATAGTCACATAATATGTTTTTATAAGCGTTCGAAGCACAAATGATGTCAAAAATTGTTAAAATCACGAAGATGTTTAATTTATTTTGTAGTTAAAGTACTATAAGAATAAACTTGGAAATTTATTAGAAGATTCGACACAAGTTTTTATAGAAATTAAAAAAAAAGTTAAGTGTAGTCCACGCTATCTCATATGTCACATGCTCACACACATTTTGTATTACTGTTTTAAATTAATTGTTTGATGACATTGGATATTCAGAATAATTTGTGTCAGAGAATATATAAAGCGTTGAAAAAATTATTATGAAATTTAATGTATAAAATATCGACATCCGGTAATATTTTATCATTTTCCAACCAAATTAATATAGTTGGATATTATATACATACATATATATTTAAATAGGTATATTGCTTGGTAATACGAAACAAATAAAATAGTTATACTTATAAGCAACTTTATATTGAGTTAACCCAACTATAAAACAACAACTAAAATTGTTTGATGCATTTAACTTTTCCTTTAGGTAACGGCAACTAACAATACAAATCTAGATTAGCTATAATAAGTTAGCACAACTGAAATATGATAACCAATTAAGTTTTAGGTAACCACAGAATAATGTTATTCACCAGTTAATCATCTCTAAGGTGAGATTATTTACTGCCAACACACAGTTTCCGTATTTATGTTGTTTTTTCACACATAAACTATTTTAATCTAACTGGATTAGTAGCTGTAGGTGGTCTAATAATAGAAATGGATAGTTTGAGTAGGAGGGTCTTATTAATTGAAATAATTCTTGAGTAAGTTCATTAATAATATTTAGTGTAATCATTACCAGGCTATGATAACATATGCTATCTATTTATATTTTTCCTATATTTCATTAACTAATTAAACTTAACAAGATAAAATTATTTATTTATAAATAAAACAATAACATCTGCAGTTATCAGAAAACCAGTTAAAGAAATACATACGCGGGTACTTATACCTACCTTTCGTCGATGTTTAGACTTTCTTTTTGATATTTCGATGACAATTATAAAGTTAGGTTACCTATGAATTTTTGTGGTTTCTTGTTGTGACGATGTAACAATTAGATTTTCAATAAAATTGAAATTTGATTAATTTGAAGTAAGTACTAAATAATTAATTCCAAAAAAGGCACAATATAAAGTGCCCAGTATTTGTTATTGTACAAACCATGGCTGTAGATAGAACAGCAGCTATTCCATCGGATCTTTAGTCGTTATGGTAACGTCTATAAACGTATTCAGGAGGTAAGTATAAAAAATATAATAAACCTACTCAATATCAGTATTAAACCACATAGGCTCTTTAATTTGGCAGGACAAAGAAGGCGTTTTACGAAAAATTGGAGCGAATGCACAGTGCATACACCCTCTCCGCCAGTCCCTCTCAAATGACACCGAGTAGGTACCTATATATACACACTTTATAAAGTGTATAACAGTGACAGACGACAGTTGTATACGACACTCGGGCAACACTTATAATCACGACATTCTTACAATTATTCATATTATATATAACAATAGGTAGGTAATAATAATTGTGTGTAGGTATACAAAACATACCTACTATAATAGAAGTACAATAGTTCTGTACATAAATAGGGACCAATACAGTAATAGGGAGACAAAATGATTAGATACTGGTGAGTACCTAGGACCCAGCGATGATAAATATAATTTATAGCAATAGGTAATTATCACGTTTTAAGATATTATGCACTTAAATAAAAATTTATCTTAAATCGTGGAAGTGTCAAATGATAGTGATAGAATAAATGAGAAAATTAAAAATATCAGGAGTCAGGACTCAGGAGATTTCATAGAATTAAGTTACATTATAAATTAGTAGATTATAATAGTCTTCGTGTAAATGCGTAATCACTGCCTACAACGATACCAGTATTTTGTAATTAACTGTATATGGATGTAAGTGCACCTTTTCAGTTCGAAATGTTTAATGTGGATATTTAATCGTCAACAAAAATGCATACTCAAAACTATGAAATTAGACATTTTTCCATAATTTAATCGAGCCTTCAGATGTACCTAAGCGTGAAAAAAACTGATTTGCTTTTGGAACTAATTTTTGTTTGTGAGAGAAGTGTTTGTATATTTTCCAATAATTAGGAGTTTATAATCTCGTCGTAATTTCGGATACGTAGTGAACATTTGTATGCAATACTATTAATTAGAAATAACTAGGCAATCGACTCTAAGGATTACAACGCATTCTTATTTATATGTTATTTTGGCTCCATCCTTATTGCAGGTTCCCATAACAGAAAATGGACATCCTAGTTAGTTCCCTATAGATACATTCGAATTGAAACATAATTTATATTAAACTACAAAGTACCTAGTGACAAATAACAGAACAATAAGACTAAAAGTAAAGAAATGTATACACAGAAATGGGCATTTAATAAAAAAGACTGGAATTTCTAACTCCGTAAAATAAAACGTTTATTATTAGTATTATTATTAGTTTTGTACATTTAATTTAAAACAAAAATTAGGAAACATAAAAAATAAAAAATTATCCTTCGTAAAAACTCGGGAACCAATTCGAATATACCCTGCGAAACAACCCGGAAGTTTCGGAACCATTTCGAACGCACCCGTTATTTTTAACAAAGTAGTACCGGCCTATTTGAACACATTATACACTTTATTTAAAAATTGTACAAATATAGCAGTATAATATGCACATGGTAATATATCTGTATCAGCTATCGTGCATGAAATGCCACCATAGGTTCATCACGTGTAATTTCTTTGTCAGTCAAACGTGAGCAAAGTGCAAATTAATAATTAACCAATAGGCACCTATAATTTATTATCAGTCATGTGTCAGACTTCTCATACCAATCTGGATTGGCCCGAAAATATTAAGTGCATGTTTTTTTATACACCTTTATAAATAAAAATAACTTACTACGAACATTCAATATAAAACGTAGGTAAATGTCAGGAAGAGAGTGCTTGATAAATGGAATAATTCAAGGTTCACGGGGGCGAAATTGATACACAATAATACGTAACAATTAGCATTACTTACAAGCACGATGTTTGCGATTTGATTAATTTGATTGATTAACATTTACGCATGTAGGCCAGTGTTGATGAATAATAAACGCCTCATCTAATCTCCGACATCTAGATATCACGTGATCTACTAAATTTTAATAGTTATATACACAACAACAGAATGAATGTGTCATCGCATTATTGAATACCCAGGAGCTAAACAATTTTCATAAAGATTATAGAAACAGGTACTTGATAATCAATGGAGTTAATAAACTGAAATCGTAAAATGTGATGTTTAAAAGTTAAAATATTATTTTATTGTAAAAACAGAAAATATTGTCCAATAAATCTGTGTTTTTTTCTATAATGTATAATGTACATCTAGGAAATTTAACGTTAATTTGTACAAATCTTTCTATAAATCTTAATAATCTTGAATAAATTACATCATAGTTTAAAGTATTTGTAGAGGTTATCAGTTACAACTTACAATAATAAAATTCATAAATTAATTAAAATTTAAGCTCTATCTACGTAAAATTTCACATTTGAGGTAGTTTTATAATATTAGTAATATGACTGAATAAGCAATTGAAAGTTTCATAATTTTTCATTGTGGTTACATCACCAATCATTATTAGCTTATGTTTCGCTCTTGTTATAGCCACAGTTATTCTTCGTTTATCACTCAATATACCAACATCCTTAAAGTATACAAATAATTCAAATCAATATAATATATAATTAATTAAGATAAATTATATTACTTTAGCAATAGTATTTTTTGTACAGGAGTATATTATAACATCTTTATCTCGCCCTTGATATTGATCTACTGTGTTGACTTCAATTTCTGAATGCACACAAGTCATCTCAGTTTTTAAAAGTGCTACTTGGGCCCTATAAGGGGCAATGACACCAATTGATTTAGCTGGAAGTCCACCCTAATAACACAGACAACATCAAAACATACAAATAAACATTTAAAGATCTTAATTTACTTGAATTAAAAGTAAAACAATTTTTCTGACAACTTTAATTTCCATCAAATTCGTGTCTGTTGAATTACTACACACGGATCCTGTATCTAATAGTAAAACAGACTTATCTAAATCTGATGATACAATATCTTTACACCATTCATCATTGACCTAAAATTTAAGAATATATATTTATTTTATTTTTTTATATTCATATATTTGTTTTCACAATAACAATGTTTAAAAATATAAGCTCACATTTATTTCATTAAGTTTAAGAGTTGCATATTTTACAGAATCGTTAGCACATTGCAAACTTCCTTTATAAGTATATTTGTTGGCAAGTTCTGCTATAGGACCATTCATTCGATACTGGACATGAAGTACTGCAGTAACAGATGGCCTATCCAATCTGTCGAACATACTGACATCCATACCTAATTCTCTATAAAAGTTCAATTACGATGAATACATTTTTACCAAACAACTAATAGTATGAACAATGAGATTTAAATTTTACTTTGCTTTATTATTTTTGATTAAAGGTGGTAGTTGTTGTGGGTCACCAACTAAAACAAACACATTGGAAGAGTGAAGAGCTGCTATAACTGATGATTGTACCACTTGGGTAGCTTCATCTACAATGCATACGTCAAATGTACGTTTTTGAAGTAAGGCATGTCCACATCCAAGGCAAGTCACACCAACAATATTCTATCATAATTTTTTTTGTTCTTATTAAACTCACAAAGATAATTTGAAGTGTATAATACCGCTTGATTGTACAGCTTTGATAATTTTTCAGGTGTGTCACAACTTTGAGAGACCACTTCATCACATTTCCCCCACAAATCTGGGTGAACACGTGTCTTTGAACCCAATCTCAAAAAATCAATCTTATTTTTATGTAATAACAACAATAAGTTGTCAACGGCTGAATGAGTATGAGAAGTGACCAACACTGACCGACCCATCAGTACAAGTATCCGAATAAGAGCAGCCACAGTTGATGTTTTACCAGTTCCAGGCATACCTTTAATGAGAGCATAATTCTCTGCTGCTAAAGTCTTGATAATAGCGGATCTTTGGGATGAATTTAAATTTAAAGTCAACCCAGAGCTTTTTATGAATGAATCTAAGTGATTATCTGACGATAAGAATGAAGGCATTTCTTTATCAATAATAAATCGCCTTAATTGAGATGAATTTTCACTCGGTTCTAATAAAAGTGCTAAACTAGAAAAATTAAATGCTACCATTGATTGTGACTCATATTTATCTATATGGAATTCGGTGAGTCCTAGTTTGGACAAATCTCTGAAAAAATAAATCTTGTTTAATACAAAATAAATTTATTTTTTAAATTTATTTTATTTTACCTATCTAATAAAACATCAACCGATTCTTCAGTTAAGGCTGAAATAAAACCAGTTGCAACTGCATTTCGATGTTTTGTACTGACTACTACATAATTATTAACTGAGAAATTATTATGTTTAATTTTATCAGAATTGTTTGATTTTTCCATTGAATTTAAATAATACCGGTTTCCTTGTTCTTTTACCACATTTTTAATTTTCAATAAACTAATACAGTTTCCACGTTTCTCACTGAAAAAATATAAACGAGCTTAATATATCTGCAACATACATAATAAATATAATGAATTATCACTAACCGCTCAAAATAAGACAATGTCCATAAATCACTAGATTTAGCACATAAATTATCTCTAGTATTTTCAATTGAATTTTCCAACTGTAAAAAAGCAGTCCACTGCATTACATAATTAATATGTTCAGATTTTAAATGGCTTATAGCTTGAGGCCCCAAATTTTTTAACGGATTATGATGGTCCAATTTTTCGAAACCTTCTTTGCTAAAATTTGTTTTTGTTTTCAAATATGTCAACAATAAAACAAATATAAAAAATTTAAATTTTACCTTAGAACAGCAGAACATGCAGTTAAATAAGGACATTTTGAGCATGCACTGTGATGGTTTATGGGTTCAGGCAATGTTGGAATATAGTCATCAAAATTGTCTGAAACTATTTTATTCGCATTCAAATAATGTACAAGTCGATTTCGCAGCATTATCAAATCTCGTTTTTCTCTATGACCAACTTTTACTTGAGTTAATACATTTTCTCTATAAACATAAAATATGTATTAGTTATTAATTAATTATAAAATTATAACTTATACTGTTTAAATTTACCTGAGATATAATAACAAGCCTGAATCTACATCCATACCCAATTCCTTCATCATTATTGTATACAATATTACTTGGCCACGATGCTCCTCACTTCCGGAAGCACGGCCAGTTTTCAATTCAATAGGCATAATTTTAGATTTACCATCATAATTGGCTAGTACAGTAAAATCTACTTTACCCTTAACACCGAATGCTGGTACCCATAAATTATCTTCTATATCTTCAATTGAAACAATTTGTCCTTGCCAAGTTTTTTTGTCTTTCCCGCTAATACATTTTTTGTTTTAAATATTTCATTACTTAATATGATTTTTGATTATTAAAATGCATTATGAAATCAAAAATTATTCAATAAAGTCAAGTTTAAAACAATAGTAGGTATAGGTAGGAAAATATCCCTAAAATGGAATTTATTTTAATCCCTAGTCATTTGATTGTATACTCTGTCCAGCAAGAAAATGCAGCAATTCTACGCATCCCCTCTCGTCACCTTAGTTCTTCGTTAAAACGGTTCACTTATGGCAAGGTGTAACTGGGAGAGGGGGGGGGGTTGAGCAGAAGAACTGATTTTGGTCATTACACAGCAGGATGTTCTTGCAGGACATAGTATAGATACATTTTACTGGGCAAATATACTAACATTAATATTGATAAATATAATTCAAATATAACTTACATTTGATTATCAAACAAATAAGTTCGAACAAAGTTTTGAATTTTTGGTATAAAATCCATTAGCTCTTTTTTGGTTGTTTCAAAATTCATATCTGATTCATAGAGGGTATGCACAAAGCCTGGACTATTAACCATTTCATCTATTACAGCTTTGATGTCTTTTTGATTAAACTGCTTTTTTTTTAAAACCTATAAAGTAAAAATAAATTTGATTAAATGTAAGGAAACAATAATTTTTGACATTTACCGTTTGAAGCAATTGGTGGAGAAGTGTTCCAATAACCATAACTGCAGAGGAGCAGTCGAGTCCTTTATATATATCTGCAAGAACTGAACGACGTGAACAAAATAATGATCCAACAATTGTTGTGCCAGACACCAAGAAGTCAGAGTGTCTGGTAACAAAACCATGATCACTACTTACTGACCAATGATCATCGACTTTTTTTGCCATTACAAATACAATATCTCCTACTTCAAATAAACTATGAAGCCTATACATACATCAAATTATACACAAGACTTTATAAATATCAAGAAAATACACAAAATTAATAATAGAGTAAGTAATTAATATTTACCAAATTCCACTGAGATAGCATACATCTTCCTCATAACTTTTACAGGAACTCAAAGTTAAGCAACATTTTGTAAGAGTTTTTTCGATTTTTTTTATAATACATCGATGGGGTTCATTTAAATTAATATCACTAAAATATATAATTTTTTAATATAATATTACATTATGTTAAAAGTGTAAACTGTACATTTTAATTGAGGTTTTTAAGAACTATAGACTAACCAATCCAACAAGAAGTCTGAACTAAATTCTGTATAGGAGCTTTCTACTGATGCTGTATCAAGTGAAAACGACTGACTATCGACATCATTATTATCATGTTTAGGTATTTCTGTGCTCTTTGTAAGTAAATCTAAATTTTCATTAGACAAGTGTGGAACAGGATCTGTGTTTAAAATGGTCAATTTGTCTTTATGTTCAATGTCATCAACTAGAACACGATTTATACATCTTTTAGATTTGGTAGGTCCTCTCTTTTTCTCCAACACCGGGGATGGTGGAATAACATCTGGACTTGATAGAGGGCTTGAAAAAGATTTAGAGTTAGGAGTTTGACAGGATCCATTTTTGTTATGTTCTGTCATAGTTTCTGATGACTCAGAAGGTTTGCGTGAAAATAGAGAGGTGATTTTCATCTGCTTGGAACTGGTAGGCTGGCTCTGAAAAGAACAATTATATGAATACCATAATAAATATTTGTTTAGTATTTTTAAGTAATAAGTCTACCTTTTGAACTTTACTGTGAGATCTTTTCATGTTGATTGATGACTTACAATTATAGGAAAACAGTGATTTAAATACAAAAAAATTATGCAATTATTTCATAACAAAATATTGTACAAAAAAAATAATAATACTTAAGAATAAATCACAATTACATTTTTAAACATTCATTTTAATTTTGGTATACCAAGGATAAAGCACTTTTTAGCAGTTTAAATATTCTATAATTTTTTCAATCCTAACCTGCAGATTAATAGGAGAGGAGCATTATCAAATTCTTAGTATGGAATATGGGTGATAAAAATTCCCGCCAATTATTTATTAATAATATTTTTACTTTTCAGAAAAATATTATAGTCTTTTAACTGTTATCAATGTATTTATCACGATTTAAGGTATACTTATATATTATATATATATACTTATATCTTAAATCGTGGTATTTACTGATTATTATAAAATTAATAAAACAATTGTAAATAATATGACATATCCAGTGGGCAGTGACAGTCATAGAAAAGAGCTAAAGGTGACAGTTGTTGCTAGTTTGCTACTTGTTTATGGTAATTTCAAACTAAGTATTTTCAGTTTATACTTGATTCAATTTGATATTCAGTATTGACAGATAAAATATTAAAACATAGTCTAAAATGTTGTGCTTAGTACCTAACTTAAGAAATTCAAAGTATTTTGATTAAATCTGTAGCCTTAACAGGTTGATTATGATCAGTATTTGGTGGAGGCTTATGAGTATACCCCCTAGTTTGGAAGGAGGCAATAGTGTTTATTTATTGTTACTGACTAGTGATTACCGTAACTACTCCAGTATAAAAGTACTGACCACCACTTACTAGCATAGAAAATGTCATTAGTCAGTACCACAAATTAAATATACTGTATTATACAACTACTAGTATATTAATTATTGGTCGATGGCAGTAGCCTACTGTTAGAAGACACCATTGGCTTAATTGTATCTGAAATATAAGACATATTTAGGTATGTTTCATAAATTATGCTTGAAAATAATGTAAACCTTAGTTTAAATAATATGGTTAATATTAAATGTTAATGAATTGGATAATGTTTGCATTATAATCATGGATCAAGATATATATATATATATACTATACTAAAGTTTACCTTAATATATGTATTAAAGAAAGCAATCTTGAATATTAACTAATTACAAATGAGTAAATGACAGTTTAACATGCATAACATTTAATCTAAATAATATTATGAATTTGCCTGAAAATGAAATACTGAAGTATTAAAATCTATATTGTTTATAACATAGAGTATACACTAAGAATAAATATAACATTTCATGACTTTATGTTATGTGTAAGTCAATAAGATCAAATTCGTAATTTTCCATAATAGAAAACATTGTGATTAGTTTTTGAATAAGTAATCTGTTATTACCAATAGAAAAATCATAGATAAAATAGCAAGAAAGACAACACAAATGAAAGTAATTGAAATATAATATTATAAACTAAAATAATATGTATATTTAAATGTATAAACTAATTTGTTACTTTGTAATTTTAAAAAAACAAATTAAATAAAGTTTAAAAAATAAAATATTCTGCAGCTCAATTTGTTTACAAATTATAATATATAACAATATCAAACAAAACTAATCAATCATTTTATTTACAAACAATTTAAAATTATATCGTTAAGAAAACTTATTGATGTTGATAATTATTTACATATTTTCAAAAAGCTAATTCAAATAAGGTATGTCAGTTGCCCTATTTCAATCATCAAATATTTCAATCACCTCAATGGGCTCAGATTTAATTTCTGATGCTGATAGTAGTCTTGTGGCTAGTTTATCTTGTCGGATTTTTTGTACCTTTTTCTTAACTGCCATAGCACCTGTTTTAAAATAATAAAATATATGTTTAAAATTGGAGTTAAAATGAATAAACTAAATTAATAAAATATAAATTTAGTTACACTTAGTAGTTTGGTATAACACTAATAAGTTTTCTTTTGATTTCTGTTTATTTTGATTCCTTTTGCTACTGTTATTTGCAGCCATCAGTCTAAAAAAGTCAATAATAATACACATTAATAATAAACAGAAATATGATATATTTGTTTATGATTAAACTTATATACATAATAACTACAGTATTATATTATTCTTTATTTGTATTAATGTATTACTATATTATAATAAATAAGTTTATAACAGTTATAGTGCTTACGAGCTTTTAGGAGATTCAAATAGCCTGAATATACCATTTCCACTAGTTGTTGACATGTTTAATGGCTGTAACAAATAAATTAAACTTAAATAAAAATATATTTATGTATACATAAATTATTAGATAGTGATACTATTTGATGAAACATACACTGTCTCTTAGTTCAATAAAGTAAAATATCAGAAGACTGAACAACATAATTGATAGTGGTAGCTGATTATCATTATTCATTGTTAGCACTTCAATCGAGGACAGCACAATAAATGGCACTAAGAACAAGTAAATTGATATCCTGTTTAAAAGTAAAAAATAATTGATAAGTAAAAGAAAAATCCTATAAAATGATTTATTGTTTAATAAGTAACTTTTATTTTCCGCTTACCAAATAACACAATGTACAACAAACTGTCCAAAGCTTAATATTTTGATCAGCATACTATTTGTTTTGTTATGACAAACTTTCAAAAGTCTAGCAGCTTCTAATGTTCCAAGCGATAAATTAGACAGCCCAAGGAATACAAAACCTGCTTCTGTACAGCTGTACAATTTTAAATACTAGTAGTATTAGATCAGTTTGATTAAGGCCTACAAACCAATGTTAAAGTTCCTCAGAGTATATTATAACTAAGGCACTAAAATAAGTAATTTTAATTACCCAAAACAGTATGTCGAAGCAAAGAAACTAAGTACAGCACCTTTCTTTAATGTGCTTAACAATGGTCGCTCATCTAAATTGTTTACAAATGATGTGTAAACACTGTGTAATAAACATGAATATAGTATGATAAACTTAAAGTTTCTTGATGGATCCACAGTTTCTGTACTTGCACAACGATCCATCATATGGCGAAATGAATCCAGTAACCAGTACATTAAGGATGAATCTGATGATGAAGACGGTTTAAATGTGGAAAAACATATTGGAACACTGATGAAACAAAAGATTCCACTAGTCAATGAGTGAAATAAAACATTTACTTCTGGTAACTTGAATTTATATGATGAATACATTGAAATAAAATTCTAAAAAAAACAAAAATAAGTATTATGTATTTATATTTTATATTTCATGTTAAATAGAAATTGATTAATGTACCTCAAAGAAACCGGCAATTCTTTTGAAAAGAACTAACCACAAAATAAACATAATTACTATCCCAATAATAATAACATTTTCTTTTAAAAACATTGCAAACATGATTAAATTTTTAATTTATTAACTGTAATTTTTTAAAACTCGCTCAGTGGAATATACTTAAATTAAATGTTATAAAATTGAGTAACTAATATTCCCAAAGACCAATAAACACGTCAACATGTAGACATCAAAATACTGATAACGTATAAGTCAATAACAAATATTTTAATGTTTAATTAATAATAATATACTTTAAATTTGTATTTAACTTGTTTAAATTTTAAATTTTTAAACTAAATAATATCTGTGGACTACGATTATTTATATATTTGTATTATCATGATATGTGATAAACATATTTTCATGGAATAGAATACAACTATTAAAATTTCCTTTAAACTGTTTTTAATAGAACAATTTACTTAAAATTGAATTCTATTTAAAATATATTATCAGAAAATTATTAATGTACCAATTTTCATTGAAAATGGTAATTTGGAACAGTTTAATATTTATTCAAGATGTTATATTTTTTTGTGTAAAATATCGGAACAAAATATGTTAACAATATTTTTTTAAGGTTATTCAATTATCGGTTGGTACATTTTGCTTTTTGGTTATATTGCACTATCATCGTATAACAAAACAATATTTCCTGTCTACCAGACTCCGGTTGTGAACACCGTCCTAAAAATCTGACACCTTGATACATGTAATTTGTTTTGTCAAGTCCCTTGTTCTTTAACACAATACAAGTACTGAGTTGTTTTCACATTTTAAACTCTGAAGGTAAGTTAAACTTTAATGTTTTGATGCTATTAGTATTAACTTATAAATTTTATTCTTCAGTAAAAACGTTATGTATTTTTTTTTACTGTGTTCAAATATTAGATCATTTAATGACCTTAGAAGATGTATAATATAGATTTTTGGAACCTTCTAAGGATACTGTTAAAAATAAAAAATAACAGTCATTGTAAAACTTGTACAGGTTTATGTATCTGACGGACAATAATGGTCAATTGTAATTTTAGAATGTTCCAATTTGGCAATGACAGTGACCAATCATGAATATGTGATTGACTGCTTTCCATAACTGAGTGTACCTATGTGTGCGAAAGTGTTCCTTCTTATTTAGAACAAAATATAAAACTGAAGTAAATGCAAATGTTTTTTTCTTGTGGGTTGAATGATTATTTCCATAGGTAACTTTTTATAAAGCATGAAAGCGACATCTTATTTGTATAACCATTGTTCGGAAGTAGTGCGCTAACTGTAGCAATCAACGTAACATCACTACAGTACACCTAATGTAGTGAAATACTCAGAAATTTTTGGTTAGCATACCAATTCTGTTGCTACCTTCAGCCTATTTGGTGATAGTTGAAATATTATGATACCTATAATATTTATTTAATTATAATATAATAATGATGAGTGTATTAATGAATTTTTCGGGTTTGATCCACGATTAACTCTCGTACTTGACCAAATTATAAACCAGTATACCCACTATAAACTACCAATTTTCAATTAGAATATTTAAAGAAATTGCAATTTTAAATAGGAAATATGGAAGTTGACGAAGAAGATGTTGAAGCCCCATCATCAAGTACCAGTAGCCGTGGAGAAAAGAAAAGATTTGAAGTAAAGAAATGGAATGCTGTTGCTTTATGGGCTTGGGACATTGTTGTGGACAATTGTGCCATTTGTCGTAATCACATCATGGACTTATGTATTGAATGCCAAGCTAATCAAGCGTCAGCGACTAGTGAAGAATGTACAGTTGCGTGGGGCGTGTGTAATCATGCTTTTCATTTTCACTGCATATCTCGTTGGTTAAAAACTCGACAAGTATGTCCTCTAGATAATAGAGAGTGGGAATTCCAAAAGTATGGTCATTAATTGAAGTGTATTTGGAATACATTTAAGTTTTAACCTACCTTTTTCATTCCTTGTATGGATAATAAATATTGAAGTATTATTAAAATTTCCTTAAAATTATTATTAAAAGAAAAAAATTAGATTGCCAATCACTAAATTTCCTTTTTCATGTTTTTCGTTTCATACTATTTTATAAGGGATTGTCTTGTAAAATATTAAATTAAATTATACAATAAAAGAGTCTGTGTACCATAGAGCTACTGATAAATACTGTGTTGTTTATTTTATTATTTTTCATTGCCTCAAATTTCTATTGAGTTATTTCTTATATAGTATTAAGGTGAAATAGTGTTTAATCAATATATAGTATTATGATTTTATGCGTTGACATAAACCTCATACTTATACAGTTATATCAAGAAATAAAAATTATATCTAGCTATTTAAACATTAAAATGAACTAAATAAATTGTGAATCAGATCCTAGAGAATTTTGAGTAGGTATATTTTTTTATCAAATAATTTTCAGTGAGAATTTAGACTTCAGCTCGAATAAAATTAGTAAAAAATGTTTTCAGTTTTATGATGTAGTAAACATTAATTAAATGAGTTATTGTATTCTGGCAGTAGAAATCTCAACTATCACTATACTCCAAAAATTTAAACGGCTAAGTATTTATTTCAATATAATATGCAGGTAAATCAAAAATAATTTTTTATACCTGTTTGACGGAACATACTCAAAATATTAAAATATTTGAGATTAATGAGTAATGACACAGATTTAACACTAAAAAATATGGATACCTCCTATTTTAATTTTACTATCAGTAGTTTACTTGCAGAGGAGGTTGTCTGTAGCCCTGTAGATTTTGGACCACCATCTATTGGTTAATAATAATAAAAAATATTTTTTGTATCATAATAAGGTCTATGCATGGTTGCCACAGTTAATACTATACAGATCCAACATTTCTGGAAAAATGTGATACCAAAATATTGGTAAAATTTACTGAACAATGATTTTTAAGCACTATCAATAAAAGGAAATTAAAAATTACTATATTTTTAAAATGTTATTTTACTGAGAACAACAAAACATAACTGTTGCGCATTGGCTGCTACCAGTCGCGGAATGCGACTATGAGTAACGGCCACAGCTACTAGCTCCCGGATGGGTGACCACCCAGGTTCACAGTAGTTAAGAACCTTGCCACACATACACGTGTTTGCTACCTACCGTAACAATCGTAAGAACAAACCTACTGTACCAACCTTACCCCTACCACAGTTCATAACACCTACAACAGCTAATGGCCTTAATCGTCGGGCTTAAGTTCAATAAAAAATAAAAAAACTATGGTATGTTTACTACATTTTAATTTTTTACCTTAATGAGTATTCTGAGTGTAGATATGAAACATAAGTATTGATTTTACAATGAAGTGTATTTTTTTTGTGTGTCTAACATTATAATTGTAGTAAAAAAACTTGGATTTTCTACATCAGCATAATTTCTGATTGGAAATTGAATCTAGTTGGTTTTTCGAGGGGTTAAAATTAAAAATTAGCAGTAGTTTCTAGTCTCGAAAAAATATAAATTAATTAACAAAAAAAAACAGAGATTTTTACTCAAAATGTTCACAGAATATTTATATTAATATTTTCGATATGCCTTACAATTTTCAAAATATATTGACTTTGACCTATTTATAAAAAATTTTTAATTTGATTAGCTTTTTTTTAACTAAGGTTTAAAAAAAGGTTCATAAATATTCTTGGTATTAACATTCAATTAAATATTTTGTTGTTTTTTTGTTTATTGGTAAGATTGAACGGTGTAGCGATGTTATCAATAAGTAAAATTTACTAAATAACACTTAGAGAAATTATTAATGAACTGACAGAAAAAAGACATTTACCTCTTTTATTATTTAACTCTTAACTTGTATTTATAATATTAGAATAGTATGATTATTAATTTATAATTCATATACTTTTTATAATATTATAAACTTATTTATTTTTTGACTTCAAAAAAATTGAAAACACGCTCCGTGTGGATATCGTATACTCGTATGATTACAAACTTAACATTTTTCATTTTGAGTGGGGATTAATGTTATAACATGACTAAATTAAGCCATTGCACTTTCCTTAATAATTAGTAAAAACAAATTTGGGAAAAACGGGGATTTTCGAAAAACCAGTTTTTTTATTTGGTTTTAATCAAAAAATATTTTCTTTTTGAGCTACTTATAGAAATTTAAAATTTCAGATCATTTTCTATAAAGTATATCAATAACATATTTTTATCTCAGTTAAAAATCTTGAACATCTTGAACATTTCAAAACTATTGCTATTTAAAATTATTAAAGATACACAAACAATATATTTTTTTTATAAGGCATTTGAAGATAAAATAAAATTAGTTATTTAAAGGAAAAACATTTTTTTTAGTGATTTTGATGTACAAATTCAAAAATATTTTTCTCGGGGAATTGAAACTTTTTCGTATGTTTTCGTATATAACTTATATACTCACGGTAAGTTTCAAAACATTTAAATTATTTAAATACTATACATATATATTAATAAGATTATAAGAGAATAATAGTTTAGTAAATGTAGTGTTTTCGGCAAAATTAAATGAGCCATTACCTTAAGGACTATTACTTTAATAACAATTATCATTTATCAAAAAACACCATGGAAATATGAAACTTACTCAGTGATATAGATTATAGGCTGACAATCTTTCTTCTTCGAATCGTAGGTATTTCGTATAATAATATGCAATGATTCATCAATTACTTATCGCATTGAATTCAAATTTAACACATAGGTAATGTAGGTAGATACATTTTAGTACGTTACAGACTACAGTTGTCTGTTATTGCTTACACGACACCTACTGACCACTGCACAGTAGAGAAGTTACCTAGTTCACCCATTTTTTATTCTGAAAACGATACTTGATAGTACAATAAATAGGTAGGTAACTCAATGTTGGCTTTAATTTGCAGTCTATACTTTTTAGGTCATATACTAATTTATGAGGTACTAATAAATTATTTTAATCGGAAATAATTTTTTATATCTGAAAAACAATTTCTAAGAAAAGTATTGTTTTAAAATTCTCTTAATTTTTTCATATTTTTAGTGTGATGGGAAAAAATTTATTTTTCCGAAATGTGCAGTAATTACAATCCCTATAATTAATATAATACTAAGCAAAACTTTTGTTTTTTTATCTCTTGTAATAAATTGAATTATAAATTATAAATTGAATTAATGCTGGTTGTGGGTGTGTGGCAATGCGGGCCAAGCCGGGTCCCTTAATTATCTAAACCCCTCCCATGAAAAATTCCTATTTAATATACCATTGAGTGACTGAATACTTTATTATCGATATAGTTAGCATATTATATTTTTATTTTCAATAAATTAATATATGTAGGTAGTTTAAAAGTTAATATTAATTGCAAAAATGTAAATATACTTAGTAGGTAACAACTTAACGTTGGGTTGTAACTTGAAGGCATCTATAATATTATTTTGAATGCATTGGTTTATTAGGTATATATATAATATTATATCAGCTGTGGCCTGTGGTCGGGCCGGTAATCGATCAAACTTGACTTTTATAAGTCCATTATTTTGAAAAAAGTTGGACGATAAGTTCGGATTCATTTTATTGATGTTGGACAAAAATGTCGAGCACATTTTCACTGTCGGACAAAATGTCCAAAAATAAAAAATATTCTATTCAATTTTGATTTATTATCTTATACATGGCCAATGGCTGGTCCCACAAGACTGCGACCGGCGTCCGGCAACAATGTAAGATAATAGATATTAGCTTTTATATTGTTTAATGCTAGGTGAGCTGTAATTAGTAATTAATACATTCGACGGTACAATGAGAAACTACTGCCCGATAGGTAATGGAAGGTGTATATTATAATTATTTTATGTATTTAAATTTTAAAAACACATTGGTTAAATGCATTTATACGTTTGATTTTGATGATAATTATCAAAAAATGTGTCTATTCTACCAAGGTGGGATTTATATCCATCCACTTTGTTTTCTACATCGTGAGCAGACCATATCCCTTACAATTGATACTACTAGTCTAAAAAACTAGAACTGTGTGTAACAACATCATGCGGGCTGCGTAATAACATCTCGCAGTGATGTAGATTGTCTTTACGAACAAAATACAACTAATATTAAATATTTCTATACTCTGTTATAATATGTTCCGTACTACCTTCCGGACGACTCGGACGAGCGACCGAGTAATCAAAAAGCGCCCTCTATGTTGTGACAATTTCCATTCACTCGTCGCTTGTCTACAAAAAAAGATAAATAGTAGACGGGCCATAAACACTGAACCGCGGTCATAGAGTTATCGTAGCCCGTCAACCGCAATCGTTTAACCACGATTCCGTGCCGGAATTATTATCATCTCTGGCAGCCCTGGCGGCTGGCATAAATATGAAATAATAATTAATATTTAGTCCGGCAGTCGGCACCCGTGGCCGTAATGCCGTATCGTCGTATCGGCATTCGGCCGTACCGACCGTTCGGGTGTCCGAACTTCGGTATTCGCTATTCATTCAGTATTTCGGTATTCAGTTATCAATAACGAGCCGAACGCGGCGGTTTGTGTTCCGTTTTACTGCGCGAAGCTGGTGGAAGGTGTTGTGACTAATTTTGTGCTCATCTGCCGGGTTTTTGAAAGCGCATAACTAAAATACCGGTTCACACTGACTTTTTTATTAGTAATAAATAACGCGCACACAGTGTGGGTACCGGGACTGCTTCCTCACTCGAATTTTGAATTTTACCATTTTTATTTAAAAAAAATCTGTTCCCTTGCGCGAGTATGGGTCTGTTAACAGAAGGGCAACCACTCTCCTGGGATGAGACGAAACAGTTAGCTGATCACGTCAGACAGCACGGTATCGAACAGTTTCTGAACTTGTACCATCAACTGTTGGACCGCAAAGGAGATGTCCTTAAATGGGGTGACGAGGTAATTATTAACAATGATGGTGATTTTAATTTGTAATTCACAGTCGACTGGTTTTAATATCACGATACTCACTCTTGGGACTTATCTCGTCGTTCATACTTTCTAGGTCGAATATATAATCGTCAAATTTGACCACACCAATAAAACTGCAAAAGTCAGACTGTGTGCTCAAGATATTTTAAGTCAACTCAATGAAAAAGAAGCAAACGACCCACAGTAAGT